TACCTTGTTGTTCATTTTCTGCTTGCTGCAAGGATATCTTGACTCCTCGTGTAGATGATACTGGATTACCAGGATGTACAGGGCACATATTAGAGAATTCAAGTTAGTGCTATTTAACCTGATATGTTCAAGGGTAAGGCGTGATGGTTCAGTTATGGTTTCATCAGCAGCTAAACCATCCTTGTAGGATGAATAGGAATTTGAGAGAGGAGCAACGTAAATGACGAGGAATGAGATCAACAGAAATTCCAAAGTGAGGATTTTGGGGTGTGGGTTTTTTTGAGGTGACTTTTTTTCTTTGTTTTGTTCTTCAGATTCATGACTGGGAAGAAGGGTGAAGATCTGCAGCAATTTGAACAAGTGTAGACTGGGGCTGCTGCTTTGTCCTTTCACCCTGCAGTGCTGCCTTCTCCCACTGAGGCATTTGTAGCCCTTTCCCGAAGTTGTTAGCCAGGATGTGAAGCACATGTGCCTCCATTTCATGGTGAGGGAGGTCATGCTGGCTGGACCATATCAAGAGTAGGGAGAAACCCAAAATAGGTACTTCATTTCTTTCCTGAGCAAAAAGATTTGTGTCTGCACCAGTTTTTAAATAAGTGTATGATTGAGAAGATTGAAGAGGAATTTCAGAGTTTCACTTAATATTTCCCTTGTACAGAAAATTACTTACAAGCATTCTAAATACGTATCTGCTGGAGGTGATGCATTTTAGATTCAAAACATGCCTTTATCTTGGTTGGCTGATTGAACTATTTGAAAATAGGGTATTTGCTAGCTTTGTGACTTCTACAAAGGCTTACTAATAAAGTTTCAAATACCAATTTTTTTTTTTTTTTTTTTTTTGAAACAAAGAGTGGATATACTGGATCAGGTCAGATGTCTTCTTTTCCTGGTATTTCAAAAGTGTATGGCTTGGGGAGGGAATAACGGGACAACATAAGTGGTGCTTCCTTTGCATATTCTCCCAGTTTCCAATGGCTTTCAGTTCACTGGCTGTCTTTTAGCACAGCATAGCATGTGCCATCCTTTGGCAAGGAGTTCACCAGCTCTGCTGCCCACACTGCAAATAATCACCTTTGTTTTGCATCTGCTTCTGATTTTATTTGATGATCCTTATTTGCTGTACTGGAAGAGGCAGTAAACATTCAATCCTGTCTGTCTTGACTGTCACTTAGGTTTTTGACAGCCTTCTGTTACCTCTCCTTGCCCTTCACTCTCTCCCAGCTGTAAGATTTGTAGCTTATATTTTGGACATAAATATCATACGTTCGATGGCCCTTGTTCACCTTAACTGTATATTTTCTAGTTGCCCTTCTGAGAGATGAGGACTAGGACTGTGCATCATGTTCAAGGTTGTACTTGCCTCAAGCTCGTGTGGTGGAATAATGTTCTCTTCCTTTCCTCACAGGAATGCTCTAAACATTTACTTTGCTTTTTATAACTAATAAGCATTCAGCTGAAGTTTTCATAGAATGGGTTCTCACAACACCAGGATTGCATTCCTGAAAGGTGATGGTCAGCCCCAAGCTCACCCTTATATATATAAAATTAGGATAGTTCCCATTGCTCTTTACATTTTCATACCCTGAATTGCATGTGCTGTAGTCTACTTGCTTGATCTTTACAATTCGTCAGGATACATATCCTTGCCCTTGTTACCCAGAATAAGTTAATATCATCCAGAAGCTTTATTTTACTGCTCACCCCTTCATCCAGGTTACTTATTAGTGAAACGTGAGTATCGTAGTCCCAACATAGATTCCTGCAGAACTCCTGGTGATATCCTTCTGCGGTGAGAATTGGCCATTCACTTTGTCGCCTTCTCGCATATTTATTTTTGCAATAGTTAGGTGGTTGTACTGAAAGACTTAAGAGGAACCTTTCAGAAGCCTTTTGGAAACCACAGACTGTATCAGTAGGATCTTCTCTTCCATAAGTTTATCTTCCCTTTACAAAAGGGAGGCTACAGAGAGGACTTTCCCTTTACAAAAACCCCACTGATGACAGATGGATGTATGGTACTTATCCCTGTGTCCACTAATTTTGTCCTTTATTACAGTTTCTTCAAGGTATACATCAGAACAATACTGAATACAGGCATTTTTAGTGAAGTGACTTTTCTCTACATTTGTTTGGAATTGAATGTGTTCCGGTTTCCTCCCTACACCAAACTGATAAAATAAAGCTAATAATTAAGGTTATGTAAGTCTCAGAGCCCAGTGGTGTTGTTGATTTAACCTAAAATTGTTAACCCTGACTCATCTGAGTGTCATTCCATATTAAAATGGCAATTTTCTGATTCCTCTCAGATTCCATTAAAGCTTTGCTGATGTGCCTGTAGGTCCAGCCCTACTATAAATTTGATAATTTAGGTGAGGTAGCTTGAAAGTTAGTATAGCTAGTCCCACTGACAGTTTTGTCAGCAGAAATGAGACAGTATGGTAATAGGAAGGAGAAGGTTTGGAAATGGCTTGATTAGGAGTAATGTAATGTGGAAATGTGCCCTGAGACTGGTGAGGCTGACTGTGAACAGAGAGTCCAAGTAAGTAAACTCTGAAAAGAAGTGAACTTTCAAGATGTTGAATCATCTTATGTTACTATTTATTAAAGTTGTTAGTAACAAATGTTATCTTTTGGTCAGCAAATTTGTGTGGAACAGTATGTGAAAGAAAAACTAGATTATTTTTTGTCCCTTTTATGCTTAATCTAGTTGCTGCAAAACATGCTCTAGAAAAGAAGGCGCCTTGCTATTAAGGTCTTTTGGAGGACTTTCTGTAGTTTATGAACTGCTTGGAGTTTTAATAGTTAACAGCAATATGTTACTCAAAACATGATTTTTTTTTTTTTTTTTGGATTATATGCTAGAGAGAAAAAAATCCCTTTAAAACCACTGGGGTCAGATTCTTCAGCTATAAACATTTTAGTGAGGAGGCTAACTTGGACATGACCTGTTTATAGATAAACTTGGGGTAATGAGGACAGTTCTAATTTTAATGTCTATTATTGTAAGAAAGCATCTATTCAGATAATTTAATTCTTCATAGATATGGTCAGTTTAAAGTCCTGAAACATGCTTTCCAGTTTAAAAGAAAAAGTAATCTTAACTGAAACACTAGTGGTCATTTGAGGACTTTTGGATTTAAGCAACTGCCTTTTAGAACACATTTAAATCAATCTAATTTGCTTCATACCTCATAATTTGGGGTTTTACACTAGAAGTCAATTCTATTATAATAAGGTTTTAAATTATTTGGTACTTCAGAGGAGTGGCTGACTTTGAGTTACTGGGAGTTTGAATCCTGCGTCTTAGTTGCTGGAGAAGATGGGTTACTGCTTTAAAATGTTGTTATTAGTGTTTGTCAGTGGCTTCTTTGGAAAGTAAGTGTCGGGTTTTTTCCTAATCCTGTGATTTGTAAATTATTCCTGGATACCGTATTATATCCATGTGGAGTCTATTTTACAGTAATTATCAAGGAAACTGTAAGGCAGTAGGGTAGCATTTTCTTACTTGTATTCATCACCTGCTGTCTGAGAAATGCTTCTGTGATTAAAAAAGTAAATTTGTTCAGAGAGCCCCAGTTCAAGACGTCAGTAAATAAATTGTCCATACCATTGTTTAATTTCTGTGGTTGTTGAAGTAGGAAAAAGTCCAAGACTTCAACTTTTGCATATGTATGTGTATACATTGTGTATATGTACACATATACATAGCTGTTGAAAGGAAACAGGAGCCTATTTAGTGCACACTTAGAGGATTAAAACTGTAGAACTCTTAATAAAAAACAGCAAAATCAGAAATTCTCAAGAGCAGTGTTTCAGCTGAGCCTGTTACCCTCAGTATTAACAGAAGAGGTTTAATGCTTAGAGCCGCGGTACCCTTGGGTCATAACCTTTACTCAAGACTTGCATGCTATGTGTGTTACTTGCATCTCTCAATGCATTCCACAGTACAAGTTTCCAAGACAGGGATAGAAATAGGATGACATGCTGCAAATAAGTTTTGTGAAAGTCTGTTTTTAAAGTGATCTTGACATTTCCTAGGCTACCGAAGTCTGTCACTCAATGTTCATTGCTGAAAGAAGTCCTTTTCTCTTGAAGCAGCATTCTCCTTTGGATGAATTGTCCGCATGTGGTGGGCAGAATGTTTCATGTGCACCTCCTCATATTTCCTCATATTTCTCTACCTCTGCTGGAGCTGTATTTTAGACTTGCTGCCTTTGCTTTTCTTAGTAGCCTGAAGGCAGAAAGGACGCAGGAGGCTAGGACGTACTTACGTTCATTCCTACTCTTTGAGGTAGAATGATGGAAAACTGGTGGCTTCAATTTGTTCTGGATGTTAGGTTTTTTTGTTAGCTTTTGATTGTCCTAAAAATTGACTGTATGATCTTTTATAACTTTTATATGCTTTAGATACAACTATTGATGCCAGTAGTCTTATTTTTCTGGTATTTTTTCCTAAAATTGACCTGTGTTTGTTGCAGCTGAAACAAGATTCTGATGATTAAAACTTTTATCTTCTATATAATTTCAGGTGTACCTCTTTCCCCTCCCTCTCTTCCAGAGTTGCTCATCTCCAATAAATGAGTAATCTTGTCTCTTTCCTCAGGAGGATGTAAAAAATGAAAAAAGAATCTCCCTTAGGTTTTCTTTCGGAGCACTTGTTGGAGCCTCTAGAACCTGAAACAAAAAGGTTAGGTCCAGGTAGGGATCATTTGTCAAGCATTCCTAAGGATAAAATGGATCCTCCTGTGTCTTCAGAAACAAATATATGAGACTACTCAAGCACTGTCAGTAGTAGAACAGGGAAGACCACATCTGCTTCACTGTCGGAAAGGAGTAGGGCAGAAATAATTTCTGAAGTAATGGCTAGGTTAGGTTAGCCTACCTGGGTTACTAAAAATGAACAAAACTTGTGCAGTGCAGTTGCATTTGGATCGCTTCATGGTGTTCACCTCAAAATGACTTGTATCCCATATCTTTCTTTTCATGTCTTGCCATAGCCCGGTTATGTGGTGCCCTTGTCATTGCCCACAGAAGTGGTTCATTCTTTCGGTCGTACTGTTTTAAAGATGTTTCGTGAAGTCGTGCCAGCATGTGTGTCGGATTCCTGCGGCAACAGCAGTGCTTGTGCTCCTGAGCTGCCTGGCAGTGCCTGTGTTGCCGGCGTCCTTTGTGTTCCCGAGAGAAGGGTGTCTGCTTCGCTAGTCATCGGTAGTACTGCCAAGGGGGTGATCGGAGTGTGGTAAAATGATACGCAGTTGCTGCATTCTGTAAAGGCCTCGGTGTTTGAAGACAATATTTGTATGAGAAGCCAAGGACTTTGTATTCTTATGATGAGGGGGCAGGGGAGAAGTGCAGAAAGGCAGTGTGTGTGCCAGTGAGGAAGGTTCGGGTATGGGTGACTGAAGTCAGGCGTGGCCGAGTTGTAGGCCACAGGTTGTATGTAGTCTATGGAAACAGCAAATCCAACCTGTGATCAGCTTCCGTCTGTCTTTGTGTGCGCTGTGTGCCTCGCCCATCGTGTGATGGGTGAATGAACAGATGTTGAGATGTAGAAAAATTTTTTGCCCTGTGAGGGTGATCAAACACTAGGGCAGGCTGCTCAGAGATACTGTGGGGTCTGTGACCTTGAAGATACTCAAAGGCCTGCAGGCAGAGCCCTGAGCAATCCGCTTGGACCTTCCTCTGAGCAGTGGGCTTGGATTAGATTAGAACTGTGTGGTCTGGGTTACCCACCCAGAAAACACAGACATTTCTGGCTTATTCATCCTAAAATCACGCTCTCTAAAGACCTGGATATTCAAGAGGCATATGTAAGTTCTGATAAAGAAGAGTCAATTGTTTACTTAAGCATTCTCTACTGATACCTTTTGTCTCCTGGAATACAGCGGAAGATGACCTTTAGTCATCAAACAAAAGAAATAAAGATCAAAGACGGTCCTTTTTTTTTCCCTCCTTTTTTGATAATTGCTTTGAGCTTGTCATTCAGATGTTGTATACCTCTTCGCATTCAACACAAAGTTGACTGCATCTCAAACTTGCAGATCAGTCAGTGATCTTTAGTCATTCTCTAGTTAATGTACATAGCCAAATGGACAGCTACCTTTAAGGAAGTGAAAGTCTAAAGTAGTTGTTAAGGACTTCATTTTCATCCAAAAGTAGTAAGCAGATTAGTGTACAAATGATTTTTTTTTTCCCATTTAGTTATTAATAGCCTAGCTGTGCCAGCATCTTGATTCTACTGTCATTAGTCTAAAAGCTTTAGACAGTGTGGGATTAAAATACCTACTGGTATCACTGGAGGACCTGACTAGGTCTTTCGGAATAAGTGAAAGAGGTGACACTCAGGTTGCCTTTTCTACCAGTAATTGTTTCATTTCTTGGGAACTTGAAGAGTGTATTAAGATGTAGTTTTGGCTGAATCTTCACGTACATTTGTTAAGAGACTAGAACAATTTGAGGGAAAATTTGGAAAAATCTGGGGAAATTTCCCAGTTTATTTACAGAAAAGAAGTGGCAGTCTACATCTTCATCTGAGAGGAGTGCTCTAACAATACCTTGATGCATGGATTATTGTTACTGAGATTAATTCAAAAGCACACGGGTGCATTACACCTTTACTTTTCCGGGCTGTTTAATACCTATTTTAAAAACTGTAGGAGAGATGCGCTATTGTTAAGGGTTTTACCCATCAAATAAGAAGTCGTTGTGACTAGAGGAAAAACATTTCCCCACCCCCCCCAATTTGTCTCCCGGTAATCCCATGTCAAAGGATGGTGTCTGAAGTGCTCTTATGCTTTAATGGGGAGCCATGATCTGGAGCGAGAAGAACCAGAGAACTCCTTTGTGCTTTTCAGACTCTGAACCTCTCTTCCTGACAGAGCAAGGATTCCAGAGCTGAAATCCAAAGAAGGTACAATTCCTATTTCATTGCAAACCTTTACCCGGAGCGGTATGTAATGTATTTACTCCTGTGTGCTTGGGGTCTGCCGTTATTGCAGGGACAGTGTGCCGGTTTGGTGGCATGGCAAATCCACCTATGTGAAAGGAAGCTCCTTGGGAGAGGAAAGCAAAGCCAAAAGGGACCTGATTTTTCCCCAACTTGCTCATTAGGAATACATTGCTGGTTTTGTTAAACACAAGAATTATCTGGTATTCTGGCTCTTGCCAGTCTTTTTTTTTCTTTCTTTCTTATTTCCTCCGCCCCCCCCTCCCCGAGCTGTGCAACCAATTTTTTACTAATAAATACTTTCTTTGGTACAATCACATATGTTGTCTGTAAATAAACAGGAAGCCTGTTTTTCCTGGATACAGCAGGAACTTACTCAGGATGATGTTTTGCCAGTGGCTTTCTGCCTAAGCTGGGAGTGATGCTGTCTGTACTTCGCCTTCTTTCTCCCAAGTAGCTGCCTGGTTTTGAATTCCACAAGTTAATATGTGTTAATGATGACATGTGACAGAGGTAGTGCCTCAGGATAGCTCCAAATAATTTGAATAGTCTGGACTTTAGCCTCAATTTGGGAAAGATTTGTTCTCTCTTTATGTTCTGTACAGGTAACTATAAACAGTAATTCATCTTTTTAGTGCATGGTTTCTTTTTGGGGTTGTTAATCAAATGAGACCATTGCCATCCCAAGATCGGAAAGAAGTTAATGAGGTGCTTTTGCTTTGATATGGTTTAATCAACTCTAATTAGATTTGATTCGGAGTTGTTCAGATGCGTGTGTGAAGAAAAAAAAAAGGCAATAGCTGCTTAGCATCATGTCTTAATTTGGTATTTGGCTGAAGAGATCGCCCTGTGCAGCATAGTTGTTCCAGGACGTCATTGCCAGGGACTCTTCCACTGACTGAGGTGTCTGCTGTTTACCTGTCCAAAAGGCTTAATTTTTGCTCACACCACTTTGCCTTGTTGTGGGGTTTTGTTTGTTTGTTTTTTTTGTTTTTTCCTACTTGGTGGTGGTGTCAAAATGATCGCAAAATGTGATTCCTGCAACTCTTAGTGGAAGGCTGTTCCAAAATGTCAGTTTTCTGGTTATTATAAACCACCTTTAATTTTTAGCCTCATTTTTGGCCCGTGGTCGGTTTTTATTTGACGTTATGCCAACTCTTTAGATTACCTTGCATAATTATTTTTCTTTTCTCCACGGTACCTTCTCCTAAGGGCATTTTGGAAACTTTTTGGCATGGTGAGGTGAAGGGTATTGGCTGTTCTTGCAGGGAGGATGCAGAGGGGGAAAGGAGAGGGTCATCTGGTACTTGTGGGGCTGGACAGTAGGAATATTTGAGAACTGGCATGTTGGGTCACAGGGTGGCACGGATTTTTCAGGACAAGGCACAGCAGCTTGTTAAAAACATCCTAGCAAAACCACTAAAAGGAGTTATACCCTGTTAGGTTTAGTTTTACAGGATTAAGTAAACAAAGTTCTCTTAGTTACCTTCTGTTTCTCCAAGAGCACTGGTAATCTGTTTTCACATTAGTTTTTTTAGGTATTTCTGCAAGCAGTGTAGTCAGTTAAGACAGTTACTGAACAGCACGGCCCCTTGGTTGTGCTGCAGAAATGTCCGGGGCTGTGATACGGGTTTGATCAGGTAGCTGATCTGGGTTGGTGTGGTTGAACTGAACAGTTGGCTTCATCTTACTTCAGCATTGCACAACTGAATTTATTGACAATATTTAAATGAGTGATTTATGCTTAACATAAGCACATGTGTCTTCTCTGAGGCTTGTGATGCCTGATTTGTTAATTATCAACAGTGCCTTTTTCGTAAAAGCATCACGTTATGGCTCATAGTTGTCCAGTAACTGTTTAAAATGCCCAGAACATTTTCTTCACTCTTTCTGTAACAGAGCTTTTTAGTCCTCATAACTTAATCGTCTGTCTAGTCTCTAATGCCATCAACTTTTTTGAAATGCCAGTTCTATGTGCTGGTAATGTCTCTTAGTTTTGCAGTTTAATGTTAAATAACGATTAGCTCACTTGTGGTGGATCCAGTTCTGAACCAATAGAGATCTCCCACAATTTTTGTCTTTAAAAAAAAAAATTTGCAAAGAGAAAATGCCAAATTAATTTGCATTCTACCAGCAGAGAGTTAGTGTTGTATTTTAACCCTATTTTCATTATCTTCTGAATTTTTCCTTCATAGTACTTATACAAGTGAAACTAAGTGGGCAGTTGCTTAACCGAATATTAGTCATATCCTTTTTGTTTAGAAAGTTTCATGTTTAGTATCTGTTTTAAGTATGTGAACAATCTTGGCAGATCAGGTGAACCGCAGAATACTTGTGTGGTTTATCTGTTGCCCAAAATTGTGAGACAAATTTGGAAGCTTATTTTGAAGCCCTGCAAGCGTTGCATCAGACAGAAGGGATTGAATTATCCTCCCTTATGTCCATCTCTCCCTCTTTGGGGGTAATGGGACTACTAATCCTATCTCAAGGAATCCCATCAAGCTGTTTAATGTTATATTGAATTTAGGGAAGATAGACTTTATAGAATTAAGTAGTTCAGAATAAACTGATATACTTTTTCTGGTTCTAGTGCTTTGTCTCTGCAAGCTTTAATATTTGTGTACTTCACTAGTTTGTGGGTGGCCAGTTGTTGTCTGTGTTCCCACTCTCTCTCTGCCAAATCAGCCAGAGTTTAAAATACCATCCTGTGTTCATCTGATGCAGGTTAAATCCGAGCTCATGGTTGTTGTGGTACACAATACTGGCATTTATGGTCATGTTTCTCAGGCCTCAGATAGTTTGGTGACTGCAAATTGAAGTTCTAGATGTTTCATCCAAATTACATGCTTGCTTAGAAATTCAAGTAGATCACTGGGCACCATATCCCACCTCCCAGTATCTTCCGAATAACTAAACAGAGGCCGTCACTGTCTTCCACAATCACCTTTTATAAATTTGCCAAAGAATAATGTTTCCATGTATATATTTTAGTTAAGATGAGGGCATTGCCTTGTTAGAAGTGCAAAGTTGAGATTGAAGACTTTATAGCATATGGTTGACGTGTGCTTTGGATCAAAGTTGTTAATATAATTCCTGCATTTAGGTAATTCACAAACTTCTTTTAAATTGGTAAATCTAGTCACTTTGTTCACCAGCAGTATCTAAATGTACTGAGCCAGGATTAAGTTTTCTCTTAATTCTTTTTCCTTTAGTCTGAAAAGGGCCAAGTGGCCTTATTCTTTTGCAGGTAAGGTAATTACAGTGACCGCTTCAGAAGTGTTGCAGGTCAGACTGCATAGTCTATGGATAGACAAGTTACTTAAAAGATAAACAGGACTAAAGTCACTTTATAACATATAATTTCAGTGCTTACAGAAATTCTATACAAGCTATCTGCTTTCCACCATACTCTTCTTAGCATAAAAGACTTTGGCCAAGACTAAGTTGGTCTTGATTAACTCTGAAATACAACAAAAACTTTTAACAGATAGAGCTTCCATGCCTTGTTGTGGTGATGCTGACAGTACAAATACAATTTCCTTGCAGCCCCGTCCTGTCCTGCAAAGACATGGGAGGAAATCTTGTTGGCTACTTTGTCGTTAATGCACGTACTCTCTTGCCTAGGGCCCATATCACTGAGCTACATGGCTTACGACTAGCTATTATCTTACTCTTCCTTCCTTTTCCTCTTCAAAAGGAAAAACTTAAATGACGGCAGCTTACAAAAGCAGATGTCACAAAGATGAGGAAAATGCATCACATTTTGAATTGAGGAAGTAGCTGTTGCTCTAGGTGCACTCTTTAGTTGTATACAAACAGTGTTTTGTGTGTGGGTTAGGTTTTTCGGACTTTTTTAGTTTATTTTTCTTGCACATAGTAGCTGACATGCTGAAATGGGAGACTTGTTGGAAATGAGTATAAAATGGCAGAAGTAAAATTTACAGGTGCATGTTAGCCAGGCAAGGCCTGGGTTCACAAACAATGGTTGCTGTGTGGCATGTGAAAGCAGAGTGGATTGCTTTGAGGTAGTGAAGAGTAATCTGACCAACTTCTTATGTTTATGGATGTGCAGTGTCACTTAAAAAACATTCTTTCCTCCAATATTGCTGGACCTTTTGTTAGTCCTCCAACTGACCTTGTACTACCTACTCCAGGATGAAGTGAGCATGTTTGTCATTCTGCTTTTTGTCAGATTGGTTAATCACAATTTTTCTCTTTACTTTTATAGAGCAAATCCGATTAAAGAATATAAGAAATGTGTATGGAAGATGCTTGTGGTATCGTTTGCGGCTGTTAAAACCACAACAAAACATAATTCCTACAGTGAAGTAAGTACATTTCATCTGCATGACTTTCTATGAAAGCAATTCTTACATTTTTATTTTTATAAAAATATACTTTTTTTAATCAAAGCAGCTGCAATTAGTTATATAATAATGGCTTTTGTGTCACAGAAGAGACATTTGCAATCTGCTATATTTGAATAATTAATAGTTAATCGTTATTATCTAGTAGGGCTTGAAATCAAGATGGATGCTGTTTGTCCTTTATAAAATACCTGCTAAATGAAACCAGTGAACCTCAGTACTAATAAATAAGTAAACAGTACATTTATTTGTTCCAAAAAATAATCCTCCCTCACTGAAATTAGTGGTGCTAGTGATGTCTTTTGATTTAAATATTTAATATGTAAACATATATATTCAAATATACACCAGTAATAATTTGTATGTTTGAAGTTGATGGGTTTATATCCTTCAGTTCTTTGTTTATTATTCCTACTCTCAAAGTAGTTTGCTGTCTGTTATGCATCTGTTTCAGCTTTTTGGTTTTTTTTAACATTGACTTTGTCTAGGATCATGTTAAAGTCATCCTTTAAAAACAGGAAATACTATTGTATACCTGCTGAGGACAGATAGTTAAGGAATGGAAGGAGTCTTGTAGTGGCTTGCCTTTGTTTTAATAAAAAAAATAAAGGAGAAATTAAATTAATTACAAGTCAGAGCAGTTGTCTCATGTGTCAAAGGTGGTGTTATAACAGAAATACTGCTTTAAAAAGGCTTTAATGTTTCTCACTATTTTAATGTTGTTTCTTGAAGACTGATATCAAATGGCTTCTTGTATTAGTTGTAGAATTACGCTAGAGCTAATGGATTTGTACGTTTAAAAAATTCTTTCTTCCAAACAGGAAAATAGTCCTCCTTGCTGGCTGGGCATTATTTTTGTTTCTTGCATACAAAGTTTCCAAAACGGACCGAGAGTATCAAGAATACAACCCTTATGAGGTTTTACATTTAGATCCTGTAAGTAATAGCATCTTTCACTAATCTGTACTACTATAACTGTATGATCTATTTCTAGACGTCAAATTTAAGACTTGTTTTTTTAAACAAAATAAGTTAACTTTAGGGAATGTATCTAGTGGTTTTGTTCTTTTTTTCGCATCTGAAAGTTGCTGCTGCATATTGTAAAGTCAGTCGTTAGATATTCTTTGCCTATATCTGTACTAATTTATAACTTCCATATCGAACTCCTTCAAAATTCTAATGACTTTATTAATATTGTGAGGGGGTTTTTTTGATCTATTTTGCATCTTACTCTGATGTTGTTTTCCTTGCTTGGTGCAGGAAAACAAAAAAGTAATTCTGCTTTGTATGCCCTGTGAAAATCTTCTCAATAGCCATTTTTAGGGTTGCTGCTGAATAAACTGTCTAAACAACAATGTGGATTCATTCGATTTATAGTTGTTGTGCAGCAATATTTCTTTTGTAAATGAGAAGTTTTACTAAAGAGTGTTGGTGATGCACATTTTGATGTAATAAAGGTTACCTTGAATCTCAGTTGTATCTGTGAATGCAAACAACAAATTCTAGATGGTGATACCAGCCAATCGGTTTATTAAACTGGAGAAAAAAAAGATGTAGTATTTATCTAGAAAACAGATGCAGTGCTTTATATTGAAGGTGTGATTCAAAATGGATATAAAAATTGATATATCCCCAGGAGATAAATAGACCTTGTGGGCACCTCTTAAACTCTTACTTAGTCTTGTCAAACTCTTTTCTTCATCTTAACCACAATACCTCGAGTGAATTCTCTGCTTATGTTAATTATTTCCCGATACAAAGCTCTTCCTTTGAATAACAGTAGAGTTATTCAAAGAGTCATCTTTTCAGTTCTGAAGTTTGAGGTATGTTGTACTCCCCAGTCTGAGGAAGAACACTGTGCATCAGCTCAGCACAAGAATGTGGAAGAACTTTGAATGTACCTGTTTTGATTAAACTTGATATATATTGTTAGTGTGCGAGAGCTTAATATGTATATGAACATTAACAAATACATCTCTTGCCATTAGTGATGTGGCTTCTCAGCATCACTGGTACTGCTTTTCTAGGCTAAGAAAGCCAGTATAGCAAATAAGTAGACTCTATAGCCTGTTTCTAGCTAGACAGGTAGAACAAGACCTGCCTGTCGTGTGATGAGGCAAGCAACCTCTGCTCAGTTCCTCTGTCGATGACTGCTGACTTGCGTTCTCTCACTGACGCACAGGAACAAGATAAATTTTTGCTATTGAATGGTATCTGTTGGAACTGTGCAGTTTAAATGTTCATATATCTGGGTTAACTTTGGTTAAACAAATCAGGCTAGGGATTAGGTCATCAGAGGATTTTCTTTTGTCATCTTTGGCAAATTTCTACAAGTAACAACCCTGAGGGGAAAAAGCATGTATGTAGTGAATTGTAACTTAATGCTCATTGATGAAAACTTGTACACATACTCAAGACACTTGCAACTTATCCAGGCAAAAAATCCAATACTGGAATGCTCCAAGCACTGATGGAGGGATGGAGCATATTGTCACAAGGACAAGCTGAATTAAAGCCAGAAATGTAAAGGGAATCAAGAGATGGGTGTGAAGGTATATCAGTTGAAATAGGGCTCAAAATAGAGTCCAAGATTCCAGAGCATGTTTGTTTTATGTATTTCCATGCTATCAGATGATGTCTCTTAAATCCGCTTGAAAAATTTCTAGTTCAGACTGCATGAAAGTTAACAGCTTTCTTCTGTTACCATCCCAGTGCAACCTTTAGACTTGTTGCCAGCTGTGCTAATGTTGAAGTGTTGTTAGATAATAGAACTGTTGGTGGTGTTAAAAAACCAAACCAACCAAACAAAAAAACCCCAGACTTAAAAAAAGAAAGAAATAAAAAAAAGGTTGCAGATGCAAGCACTTGAAAGTTTTGGTACACAATAATTCATTTGCATGCACACTGTGGCCAAGATTTTTTTTTTAAGAGAACTACAAGATGGGCAAGGTCCAGATAATGTACATGCACCTTATTTTATAAATAATATCAGCACCTTGTTTTGAACATAGAATATCAATTTCTGGAGCACATCGCTTGAATTTGCTAATACATAAGGCATTCAGATACTATTATTGATTCATTGAGTAGGTATCCTTACTGTCATTATACAGGTGGGATCCAAGGCATAAAGGTGAAGCTGAAAACTGATTATAATTTTGTATTCTTTAAAACAATCAAGGCCTCTATTTTTTTTGTAAGTAGTTAATATAGGGAAGCTCTATTCCAAGCAGAGTGCTGACTGACACCAGCTGTCCTAGGCTACTAAGCATTTCTGTAAGTCAGGCCTAACCTGTGTAGCCTAGCTTTTGAAAATGAGGAGTAAGCAATTCATGATGGATAGAAAGTTTGTCATCAGCTTATCAGGGATCACATGCACCCTCTGTGGCAGAGAGAAAAAATTAGGATTTTCTTTTTTTAGTGGGGAGTATTCATATGAGCCATGAAAACCCATCTCTTCTTCCCCAGCAACTTGATCTTTTTTCTTTTTTTCTTTTTTTCCCCCCACTTTCCAGCTTCTGCTACTCATCTGGCATTCTTCATCTAGTCTTGAAATGGCTGTTTTTACTTGAAGTCTAATTTATTATGAAGTAAATTCATCCTGGGCATTAAATGAGGCAGGCATGCTGTTGAAAAATAGTGTTGGAAAATGATAGACACATTGTATAAAGAGAAATAAAGTAACAGCAGATGAAGCCTCAGGATAGCTTGATTTCTGGTTTAATTTTATTGAAACAGTATCATCGTCATATTGCAAATGAGAATTCCTTGCATTGGTGAATATGTTTAGGAAAACATAAGATTTGTCAAACAGATAAGAAAGCCTTAGGTTTTTTTTTTCTGTGGATGGATGAACAAAGTAATCCAGAAAAAAAAAACAAACAACAAAACCAAACAGTCATATCAATGTCTTTTTGTTAGACTGTGACTTCTAACTTGATTTAAATATACAATGATTATTAAAAATATTATTAGAAAAATAATATAATCATGTTTCCATTAAATACATACATAGTTTCATGATCATATATTAGAACATAATTCTTTAGTTCAGTGGATGGTTCAGGGAAATATTGCACAATATGCTTTAGAATATAGATAAAGAAGAATGAATTTGATTTAAGGTATTTATTAATAAACTCAAAACTTTCCTTTTTAAGGGAGCCAGTATATCGGAAATTAAGAAACAGTACCGTGCACTATCGCTAAAATACCATCCAGATAAAGGCGGAGATGAAGTTATGTTCATGAGGATTGCTAAGGCATATGCAGCGTAAGTTTCTTTTTAGCCTATAAAAAATGGGAACTTGATATTATGGGGAGGGAAACCTTTGAGGTGTAATAGAAGGGATGACCTAAGCAGCCAGAAAAAATGTGTTCGAATATGTAACGAAATCAAAACTTGTCACAGTTCAGTGCATATTTGCTCTGTACAAGTTAGGAAGGATAATTTAATTGTTTAGCAACTGTCAGAATACTGTAAGGTGTTAGATCTTTGTATTACACTTCTGTGTCAGCTAGAAAAAGAGTTTCCAGTATGATACATATTAAATCTTAAAGATGACAAAGAAGAAAATGAGTGTTGCTGTTTGGTTAAAACCAACCAACCCTGTTGCAGCAATTCTGAAGCATTGATTAGAAAATAAATATGCTATTCATTTCACCTAGTGATAAAGCTGGAGAGTAGGAAACAGTATTTTACCTCGGGTCCTATCTAGTGACAAAGATGTTTCATTCTAGTTCTGACTCAGTTTCCTCTCAGCTCCCCCATGTCCTTTTTCATTTGCATTTGCCTTGCAGTCCTAATTTTTCACTTCCTGGCTGTTTCATGTTACCTATGTAGTTCTTAAAAGCTGAATCCTCGAATCCTCTTTTTCTCCAGAGTATTTTTTGGCCTTGCCTCTGCTTATGGCTTTTTTTTTTTATCTGAGAGATGATGTCTTATATTAGAATTTGGTATAAAGGAAATATCTTTTTATTGAATTTTTCCATAATCAAGATGTGGAGTTGGGTTTTGTAATGCTGTTCATACACAGAAATTTAATACAGCTTTCTAATCTTTTCTGCTCTAAATGATCATCTGTCAGAGTCCAATAGTCTCTGACCAGGTTTTTTTTGGATATTCCACATGTGGAGCAGGTAATGTTTAATATCCAGTTTGCTTATCTGAAGACAGTTGATGTTACACATGATTTCTGATTTAGTGGAGCAATACATTTGTATTGTGTTTTTAGTATATTTTTTAAGTTAGACTTAGCAAAATACATGAATTTCAATACACAGTTCAATCTCAATACCAACATGATTCCCACTACTGGTCTCTCTAACACACTCGCTGTCACGATGCTGGGCATCCCCAGGTGCTGGGGAGGCATGCGTGGGTCGAAGCCAGCTCGAGTCTGTTATTTTCTTGAAAATTCTTTTGCTAGTTGTCTAGTTTTTATACTCATATGTTGGGGTGAGCCAGGTATGCACTCCCCCTGTGCTGGTCTTGCGAACTTGAGGAGACATTAGTACTTTTTTAATGCTCTGGAGGAGAAACGTTTACACCACCAGTTGATCCACCCAACTGTTGAGGTGTCCACCTCAACAAAGGCCACCTTCGGTCCCCGTTGTGTTGAGACAGAGTCAACTTCTTTGCAGGAGCTGTGGTGAGTCTCTGTGGTCAGTCTGAACTTCATGGCACATTGCCCTTGCCCCTTCTCTCTGAGCCTTCCTCTATTGTATGGGTTTATTGGGTCAGTCACATCATCAGAGAACCTAGCAAGTTGGTGATTTCTGCTTTCATGTCAGTTGTCTATGTGGTTGACCTTACTGACTGAGAGTCCTCTTTGAGGTGAAGTGAGGAGGAGAACCAACACCATGCTCACTTGAGCAGTTTTGAAGTCATACTTTCTGCTGAAACTCATCTGCATCACTATGAAAGTCTTTTCAGTAGGATGTTCTGGTATTGCTTTCTGAACTCCTGAAACATCTCACTTTGCTTTGCAAACTAGCACTCAAATGCTTGGTGTTACAGTTTGATACTTCAAATGCTAGTGCAAGGGCTATGCAAGAGGCATATCTTGAAGTAAATGATGGTGAAGTCCCTTAACCCTGCTGCCTTGAAAGAATATAAAAGCTACTCATTTGGTGAGTCTGCTTGTTAACAAATGTGAGACTTAGAAATGGTCAGGAGATGTCCAACTCGTTCACTAGGTTCCTTCCATGAGACAAAATCTTCTGTATAGTGAATGCCTGGTGTTCTGTTTCCTAAAGCATTATTCGTTCTTTCTAATAACAGGGATTCTGTTGAGGTGGTATATTCTTGCCAAGAAACTGTCATTACAGAACAGGCATAGAAACTGTAAGATTTAGGAGGTGGTGTCTTAATTTATTTCTCTCTTCTTAAATATGAAGGTAGGGAGTTCCAGGAAAAAAACCAACCCAAACAAATGGAACACATGCCATCAAAGGCTAAAAGTCTAGGATAAGAAAATTAAAAACCCATATGGACAACTTCTGCTCTATCATCTCATCTTGCATTTCACCTTCCTTCCAAAAAAAGATAATGTTTTCAACCTTTGTTGTCTTTCAAAATTTGCTGTACTGTAACCTGGCGTTGAAAAGTGCTCTTTGCTGATGGGTATGCAGTCACACTCATGAAAGGGAGATGTGATTGTTCTGTCTCCTGTACAAGAGTGCACCTTCTGTGTCCGATTTCTTTTGCTGTCAAGAGTTCTAAAAGAATTTGCCTGTGTATCATGAAGGAATACAGCAGTATTGTTTCTTATCAGATTTCATGCAAACAATAGCAGAAGCTGTTTAGCTTGCCAGACCATCTCTGAAGGATGGTATAAATGCCACATTTTAGGTTTCTGTATGTTAATGATTTAGATAAATTTCTTTACTTCTGTATTAACTTAGTATCTCTTCTTGAAACTAGCTTAACTGATGAAGAATCACGAAAAAATTGGGAAGAATTTGGTAATCCAGATGGACCACAAGGTAACAATTATGAACGACGGAAGTCCTGTAATTTCTGTACATGGAGCTGTGTAATATCTGATCACTTGAGAAGCACTCAGATCTTAATATGTATAGAATAACTCTTTCATATGATTTGAAGCAGTACATCTGATCAGTTCTCAGCGTGTGAAACTGGCTCGGTGGGGGGAGGGGAAGGGGGGGC